ACCGCTCTTAATCAGCCCTTGGCCAGGCTCCAGCCCCACAGATATCTCACTCTATACACTTGTAAAGGCCTCCCTGGTCCACAGATACCCCTCCACATCGATCCCCCCACCTCAGCCTCCCTGTGGCACCCCCAGCTCCCCTCCATTCCCCCAGACACTTACAATCACATCAAAGCGGGAGTAGAGGCCCACGACCTGTCCTGCAGGGGTTGGGGGGCCGGGGAGGAAGGTGAGAGAAAGGGGAGAGGTTCAGGTCAGAACCAGGATGCTGTGTAGGGGCCCGGGGCGGGCTTGCGGAGTGAACTCCTCAACATCCTCCCCACCCCCAGGCTACTGGCTTTATAATGAGGCATCAGGCTGCCACCACCCTGAGCCCACAGATCAAACAGTATCGCAGAGAGACACCTGACATCATGCCTCCTGATGTGACAAAATGTGAGTACATGGCATCACCTCTGAAATATTCTAGCCTCAATGTATAGCCTGGGGACTTCCCGGGTGGTGCAGTGGTTAAGAATCCGCCTGCCAATGCAGGGGACACGGGTTCAAGCCCTGGTCTGGGAAGATCCCACATGCCGCGGAGCAACTAAGCCTGTGCCCCACAACTACTGAGCCGTGTGCCACAACTACTGAAGCCCGCGCGCCTAGAGCCCATGCTCTGCAACAAGAGAAGCCACCACAATAAGAAGTCCGCACACCGCAATGAAGAGTAGCCCCCACTCGCTGCAACTAGAGAAAGCCCGTGCGCAGCAACGAAGACCCAACACGGCCAAAAATAAATTTGAAAAAAAAAAGTATAGCCTGAACCTGATCGAGACTTTAGAACTAATTTCCAGTTTACAGGAAACACAGGAAGAGAGGAACAATGTACAGGCCAACTGCAGAAAACAGAAAAATCTCTGGAAGTGGGACGTTCTACAGGACAATAGACCCAGGCTTCTCATCATCAACATCATGAAAATTAAGTGGGGAGGGAACTGTTCTAGACTAAAAGAGACTTAAGGGACAAAAGAAGCAAATTCAAAGCACAGACCTTAATTGGATCTTGATTTGAATAAATCAACTATAAAAAAAGATATTCTTGGGGAAAATGGGGAAATGGAATTAGGATTGAATATTAGATAGCATTAAAAAATTATTCATAATTTTATTAGGTGATGTAGGAAACATACTTATTTTAAGAGATTCAGATGAAGTGTTAAGGTGTGAAATGACATGATTCTATAATATAATTTACTTTAAATTACGTCAGTGGAAAAAAAAAAGAACTGGTTAATGGTAACGTGTTAACAGTAGTTAATCCGGGTGGATAGGTGGGGTTTGTTATAGAGTTTTTTCTACCATTTTCACACATGTGAAATTTTTCATAACCAAAAAATAGATTAAAACACTTCTTGATATTCAGCTTCATTATGGTGCTTTTGAACTTGGAAGCAGTTTACAGCCATGGCTCCTTTAACCCTTTTTCAGATCAAGAAATTGAGGTCTGGCTCAGAGAGGCTAAGTAACTGATCCAAGGCTCAAAGCAGGCAGAGACTTGTAGCCCTGACTCCATCCTGGGCCGCGAGCTGATGTCACAAAGACCCCTGCTACCCCGAGTCCCACCCCAGCCAGAGCCCCCATCTTGGGTGTAGGTACCAGCTTCGTTGACCACAGGCAGTGCAGACACGCGCCGGTCCACAAAGATGTCCAGTGCGGTCAGGATGGGTGCCGTTTCTAGCACCATGGCCAAGTCTCGGAACGTGCCGATGCCCACATCTTGGATGGTGCAGGAGAGGAAGGAGGGCCCGGGCAGCAGGGTGCCCTGCTTGGGTTGGGGCCAGGTCGGGATAAGGGTGGAGTAGTCCCCAGAGGGCTCCCAGCTGCTCCCTCCCCAATCCCTAGGGCTGAAGACTTCTCTGCCCCTCGGGTCTCCCCCCTGAGGCTGTGCCCGGGCTCACAAAGATGTGCAGGAACTTGAGCAGCCGCTTGTGTGTGAGGATGTGGAGCACAGTGCCTGAGACTGGGTCCAGGACCGGCAGGCGGTGGATCCGGTTCTTGATGAGGGTATAGATGGCTTCGAACAGGCTGCAGAAGTGGGAGCAGTGAGGCTGGGGCAGCCTGGGGAGAGATGCCCTTCATCCCAGCCCCCGGAAAGGACAGGGTGCCAAGGCTGCCTTGTCCGCAGTTTGCCGACGGTGAGCCCGTGAGTTCAGAACTGAGGAGCTGGGGAAGGGGTCTGTGCAGGGCAAGGAGGCCCAAGTGAGTGGCTGGGGATGCTTACCTGTCACTGGGAGAGATGGAGACCAGAGGCTTGAAGGAGCCTTGAAGGTAGATCTCTGCAGGAAAAATTGGAGTCAGGGAAAGGGAACTGGCCACCCTGCCTCACCCAGCAGCCCCCAGCCCCTCGGGTCCCCTGGGCTCCCTATTGCCTTCTCCCTGCTCCCCCCAGGAAATCCCCACCGCCCATCCTCTGTCTGAGGTCCTTAGCCCTACCCTCACCCTCACACCCTCGGCCCCTTTGCCCACTCACCCCTCCAGGTCTCAATCTTATGTTCTTCAATCTCATAGATCTGGACCTAGAACATCAACAGAACTCCTGAAGTCAGACTTGGGCCCCCTGAACTCCCTCCACCCCAGCACAGATGGGTGCCGCCGGAACCCCCAGCCCACTCCTCACCAGGGGGGACCTGTAATAGCGGTGCAGCACCAAGATGAAGTCTGTGATGGTCAGCATCCCTGCGGGGTGGGAGGGCGGGGGGGAGCGGGGGTCAGCCTGGGCCTTGGGGTGGAAGGCAGGCTGAGGGCTCAGCCCCCCTGCCCCACCTGGCCAGTGTCTTCGGACTGAGACAAAAGTGGGGTTTCAGAAAGAGGAGGGTAGGGCAGCTGCTCCCGTGCCTGAGTAATGGGGTTCTCCCTTTTATGCTTCCCCTGTAATTTCTCTCCTTTCCTCCCCATTTTTTCTTTTCTCCCATTTCTTCCTCTTCCTTTTCTCTTTTCCTACTTAGCACCTATGACATGGGACCACGGGGTAGTAGAGCTGGAGGGGTCAGCTGGTCACAGCATTCCCACAGATGGGGTCTCCCAGCTGGCACATTTCCCCCACGTCAGGCCCCTGCTCAGCTCAAGCCTGTGGTGCGTCAGAGCTCAGCCCCAGAAGCACCCCACAAGTTCCCCCCTTTCCCTTCCCCGCCACCTCTGCCTCCCCAGCCCCTTCTCACCCACAAAGCTCTGCTTCTTGCTGTCCCACAGAGGTGCCGCCCGGACGCCATTGGCCACCAGGGCAAAGAAGGCCTTCTTGATCTGAGCACCGGGGAGAACAGTCGAGGGTGAGTTGCTCACTGCCCCTCAGAGTCCTCTGTCCCAACCGGGGTCCTTCCACAGGGCCTTCTCCCGGGCCCTCCACTACACGAGCCTGCCTGCCACTCGACATGACCCTTGTCGGCATATTTGCTACAGAGATAAGGCTGCTGGTGGCCAGAGGCACTGAGGTGACCCTTTACCAGGCACACCAGGGTGTAGGAACCTAACTCAGTGTTTCTACACCAAAGTCATATGTGTACATATACACACAGGATAGTTTTTGCTAATCTAAGTACTAGAGGTGTAATTATTTATATGATATGTACGAGATATTTTTTTCTGAATAAATTTTACATTGACTCATTTTGGCTTCATCCTAAACAGTATTATCTATACAGGGTGGTTGTATTTTTCTAATACATATCAAAATAAATACAAAACTACTAAATTAAATATATTTGTCTATATAGTGCTAGAGTCAAATAGTGAACTGTGGATACATAGACCCTGCTTCTTCTCTACACTACACACTGCTCTCCTATACGCGGCGAGAAGAAAGGGATCAGGTGTTTCGTAGCCTAGCCTACTGGTAGAGTGGGGACCAGAGCTCATCCTATTTTTCTCTTTTCAAGAGTTCCCCGCTCTTTGTCCTAAGCCACCCTGCAATGTTTTCCATACAATTCGGGGTGTGCAAAATGCTCCCTCTCATCCTGGGTTGGCCCAGGAGTCCCCTGAAACTTGTAGTGTAAAGCAGGCCTTCCTATCCCCATTTTAGAGATGAGTGAAGCACAAAGACCTACCCCAAACCCTATAGATACTGAGTTGCAGAGCTGGGATGACAATTAGGGGGTGTACACAGAGAGAAAAAGCCCTCCTCTGCCGGTCTCCATGGTGCTAAGAAGGAATTCTGGAAGGGGCCTGTAGCGGGGCAGGGCTGGCAGGGCATCCTGGGGGCTGTGAGCATGGAAGTGGGGCAGAGCTGCGGCCTCACCTGCAGCATGGTGTCGAAGATGACTATCTTGGAGCTGGTTGCCATGGCATCGTAGCAGGTGTGCTCCTGCATGAAGTGCACGTAGACCTGGGCCCCTGGCTTCCGCAGCTCATCGTCCCAGCCCAGCCTGGGTAACAGTGCCTGTGGGGACGGGCATGGGGCCGGCCTCTCTTCCACCAGGCCGAGCTCATCGCCCCAGGCTGCTGTGGCTGAGAACTCTATGCCCACATCCAGATCGTCTGTGCTGGAGCCGGAGGCTGAGGCTGCACAGTCAGGGGGGAGGATGTCCCGCTCTGCTGTGGGGGAGCCCACCCCAGCCAAGGGAGCAGCTTGGGTCCAGGGTGTGGCCTTGGGGAATGTGGCCTCCAGCCCGGTGGACTCAGCAGCTGGCCTGGACTGGAGACCTGTTCGGGGGGAGAGGACAGTAACTCCATCTTCCAAAGCACTTTCTCATCTGCTGTCTCCGTTCATCTTCACAGCAGCCTTGGCAAGCCTGGATGATGAGGCCCCCATTTTGCAGGTGAGAGAGCCGAGTCTCAGAGAGTCACACAGGATGGTGGCTCTGTCCTGAGTTGGCCATGCTGGGCCCCTGGGTCAGCAATGCAGTTGTCCCCTCCCATGTGGGGAGACTGAGGCCACAAGATGTCATGTGTCTGTGTTATGGGGAGATCCAGGGCAGAGCCTGGCTCCAGGATCGGGGACTTCCCACTGCCCCCAGTCCCTTCTCGCCAGAACTGGCCTTGGCCTCACCTTCCCCCAGGCCTGGTGGCTCCCCTTCCTCTAGATCCTCCTGCCTTGTCCATCTTGAGGCCTTGGTCCCCTGTTCCCCATGGCTTCTTTCTGAGCTGGTGGTCATGGCTGGTGACGGCCATGAAGTGTTATCTCCTTGCTCTAGGAAGCTCATCTCTGGAAGGGGGAATGGGGCCTGTTTGGTTACTGGGGAGTAACACAATAAAATCAATTAAAATGTTATGAGCGATAATATTTAATATTTGCAAGCTTCCAAAGGGCTTTTCCACCAACATGTTTCTCATTCAAACCTCATAGCAATCTCATAAGGGAGGCATTATCACCCCTATTTCACTAACGAGGGACCTGAGATCAGAGAGGTTAGCAATTTGCCACATATCACACAGCTAGTAAGTGATAAAGTCAGGAGGGTCCAAATCTTCAGACTCTGGAGTCCCCCTTTCTTCTTCTGAAAGAGGAAGGAGGAGGTGAGGTAAAAGGTGGAAGAAGAAACAAAGAGGAACAAAGAAGGAAAAGGAGAGGAAGACAAAAGCCAGACTAGTAGAGTGGGGGAGATTGGGGGCCTAGAGACACGGGACAAAAGGAAGCGCGAGAAGAGGCTGGGCCCAGGAGGATGGGCAGCCACACCCACCTTGGTGCTCAGGTCCCAGGAGGCTGCTCCAGGAGGGGGTCTGCGGGGAGAAGAATGTCTGAAGGGGTGGGGAAAATGCCCTACACTCTGAACCAAAGGGAGCTCCCCTTCCCACCACACACACACACACACACACACACACACACACACGCCACAAACACACACACACAAACACCCGCCTCACAAACACACATAAACACACACAACCTACCCAAACACTTATACGTCCTCAGAAAGCCATATTCAACACTTCCCAGGCACACACAGAACCACATAGACTCATACAAAGACTATACACATGCAGACAACCTCACGCTCACATACAGAGAAAATCCTGGTCAAACACACCCACACGCCCGCACACGCGCACACATCCACGCGGTGGTGCGCGCTCGGCCCTCCGGCCTCAGCGGCTCCAGCTCCCGCCACCCCACCCCCGCCCGGGACCCGGGTACCCTGCGCAGCGCGTGCTCCGGCTCCGGCGGGCTCCAGGAGCGACTGCGCAACACTGTATCTGGGCAGCACTATTCTGGGCCCGGCCCCCGGCGCCCTGCCCTCCCGGATCGGGTTCTCTCTGATTGGGTGTCGGGCAGTGGGAAGGAAGGGGTCCAGCCGCTCAGCTGCTCCAGCCCGGCAACCTGCGGGCCGGCGGGGAGGGGTGGGGCGCATGTGGAATCTCGATGCCTGGTCATGGGCTGCCTCCTGGGTTTCCGAGGACAGGGGAGAAGGACCCCGCTGTGAGGGCGCTGGGGTGGGAGGGGGTGGACTGTCAGAGTCCTGGGTTTCTTCTCTGAGGGCCTCTCTCATCTTTGCCAGGCGCCAAAGGAGGGAAAACAGGCGCGCTGAGCTGAACTCTCTTCCTTTTACAACTTCGGTCGTGGGTGGTGCTAGAGTTAGAAAGGGCAAGTTGCAGCTGGGAGGCTGGGGATAAGAGGTTTGTGGGTGGTCCCGGGAGAGTGGCCAATGTGTGTCCAGATGTCTCCATTTGAGTCCCAGGGGCCCGTCCCTCTCTTTGGTGGAGGAGTTGGAACTGGATGGTTATGGCAGGTAGGGAGTTGTGAGAATCTCCTTGAAAGAGTGAGGTGGGCTTGCGCTTTTTTTGCTTTTTTATCCAACCATTTATTCTTCAAACAATTAAGTACCCACAGAAGCTAGGCTCTGCCTTTTGGGAAGCTCCCAGTCCTAGAGTTCAGAGGAATTTAATATAGGAAGAGACCCTAGGGATCATCAGGTCCAGTGTCCTCAATGCAAGAATCCCTTCAGAGACACCTATTTCTACCTGTGGAGGTACATCCAGGTGTGCAGAAGCCCCAGTCCCCCCATCCCGCTGCGTGTGCTGTCCCTACGTCTCCTGGTGCCAACAGGATCCCAGCCAGCTCTGGTGGCTGCCCACCCCCCTTCCTTGGCATTCCTCGGGGCTGAGTCAATATCCAAGTTGGGAATGCTGACCCAGCTGCTCCAGCTCCCCTCTCTGCCCCTCCCTTTCTCCCCCCTTCCTTGGCATTCCTGGGGCCTGAGTCAATATCCAAGTTGGGAATGCTGACCCAGCTGCTCCAGCTCCCCTCTCTGCCCCTCCCTTTCTCTCCTCCTTCCAGCCTCTTCCATCCCAGTCTCACCGTGGAGTGGACAGACGGTAATGGGTTATTGGATTTCTCGCTGATTCAGTGAACGTTATTTCCCATCATCCCTCAAAGCCCCTGTACTGCTAATGGGGACGGAGGACGAGAGCAGAGCAGGGAAGGGGCTTTGCCTCCCATGTGTCTTGGGTAGTACTGGGGGCAGGTGCAGCTCTCCTTCTGCAGGGTCCCTGTGGCCTGTTACTGTCTGGTCCCAGATGATGGAATATCAAAGGCACAGCCAATGGGACACTTCAAATGGGGGAAAGATCACATGGACCATCCCTGGAGATATGCGGTGCCTCAGACCCGAAAAGCCCCACCCCTTTGTGCTCTGGACCACCTTCACAGCCAAGCCAGATACAGAACAGGTCCAGCTCACATCACTGCCTTCTCCTGCAATACCCCATTCTCCCCTCCACCTCAGATATGTTCCACCTACAGGACCAGTAACAGGGGCTCCTCTTTAAACAAAGTCTCCCTTGATTGCATCACCCTCATTGCACTGATCTCCTTATAGCCACGTTCTGTGTGCATATCTCACTGTACACTGGGCTGACACTCACATTTACATTCACATGTAAATGCCTTCTATCTCTTCGTGAACAGTGGCCACCTTTATGACCAAACTATGTTGGCTGGATGTGATGGAAAATCTGTTTTGGGGTCAGATGGACCTGATTAAAATTCATGCTCTGCCATTTGACCTTGGAAAGCATTGCTTGTTTTTTCTGCGCCTGTTTCCACGAATCTAAAATGAGGATAAAAACAGTCTGTGTCAGAGGCCACCAGTTGCCTCCCAATATCTATTTCTCTCTTCTTCCTTTAGTAATAGATTCACTTGAATTTTAGCTGCAATAGCTGCCTAAATTCCCAACCCTTTCAGTTAAATATAGCCTTGTGACTTAATTTGGCCAATGTGAGTGGTAGCGATGTAAGCAACTTCCAGGTCATGCCTTAAAAGAAAGAGGCATGAGTTCCCCTCTTCCTTTTCCCCTTCTGATGGCTGGAATGCTAATGTGATGGCAGGAGCTAGAGGAGGTATGTCGTAGCCAAGATGGAAAATGCTTGTTAAAGTTTCCAGAGTCACCCTACCAGGTTTAGATTGTCTATAGACTGTTCCATGAGAGAAATAAACTTCCTTGTTTAAGTCATTCTTAAATTGAGTCTTTGTTACAGCAATCAAACATGTATCCTAACTAATGCAAAAGTTGGCATCTGGAAGTGGCACTGCTTTAAAAGCCTAAAACAAGTGGCATTGGTTTGGAAATTGGACTTCAGGTAGCAAAGAAAACTATTGTACACTGGTAATCTGGTGACCATTGCTATGATACAGCAAAACGTATGGCATATCTGTCATCTATGATGCCTTGAAATGTCATCATATGCTAACAGAGCCTGTAACTCACGGAAACTAGCGTGTATTGGCTTCTGCTTGCTGCCACTAGTAAAGTCCCACAAGAGAAATGCACTCAGGCAGTGAGTTGTATAAACGGTGGTTTGAAAGAGGCAACCTTAGCAAGGGCTGTACCTGTGGTCCCAAACGTTTCTCAAGCACACCCTGTTCTGTAGACAGAGAAAGCCAGCCCAGTCAGTGGGCAGAATAGGGAAGTTCTCTTCACAGCCAAGCATATTTTTTCGGACGACCTCAAGGTAGCCAGCCACCAGCAGTTTGAGAGAAAACAGGAAGAACACCAAGTCCAGAGTATTCAAGCATAAAAATGGTGAGACAGTTGGCTGTGGTTACACAAATATGAAAATAAATCAGAAGCCTTGGGAGATTTTGACGGTGTCACATTGGCAAAGAAACTACAAACCTGGTCAGCAAAGACTGGTTTGACCTCCGAGTTGTCCCTAGCCCCCCGAATCTGCACCAGCAGAGGGAGGACTGTGAAAGTTGTAACATCTACAAGGACAGCGTGGTCTCAAGTGCAGCCACAGGGGACGTCGGGTGGGAAATAACTTCCCAGGAGGCAATGCCAGAGGACACGAAGGAGAGTAGACAGTTTCCCAGAACTGGGGATGAGCTGCCCCAGAACTTACTCCACTGCAGGGAAGCAGCATTGCAATTCCTGTCCAACTAGATTCAGTGACTGTTAAAGATCAGGTAACTGCCATGGGTTTGCCATTCTTTCCTGTTCTGAAGTTTATCCTGTTCCTCCTGCACTGTTATCTCAGGGAGGGGGAGGGCCAGATTACCCGCCTTTTGGTTCACAGGGCTCTAGACTCTGAGGACCCATCCACACCCAGGCCCTCAGAGATCCTGGGCTCTCAGCTGGAGCTGTGTCCAGATGGAACTTTGCCTTGCCTCCCTTTGGAGGGTGCTAAAGGTGTTCTTTGTGAGGGGTGGCCAGGCGGTGGGCTCTGGCAGAGCAACATCTATTCTCCCCTTCTTCTTCCTCTGCTAGTAATTCCTCACAATTTTAACGAAGTGCAGGATTATATTTCCCAGTTTCCTCTGCAGATAGCATGGCCACGTGACTAAGTGTGGCCAATGGGATCTGCCCGCCAATGTTATATGCAACCTTTTAGGGTGCCCTTAGGAGGAAAGGGCAGATTTTCCTCCTCCTACTGACTGGAATTATGATATGGTGGCGGGAGCTGGATCAGCCATTTGAACCCCATGGTGGAAGAGGCAGGTTGAAAATAATAGAATCTCCTCCATTCCCCATCTCTGGACTGTTATGTGATAAAGAGAAATAAACTTCTATCTTGTTTAAGCCACTGACCCATCGACTAATGCATCTACTAATGCCAACTTACTAATGCATTTACATCGTGGGATCGGGGTAGGGTTAGAAATTACAAGTGTATATAATGCTGCTTAACATTTATGCAGTGCTGAATATCTACTAGACACTGCAAAACATATTGTGTGCAGGATCCCATGTAATCCCTCACAACCCTATGTGGTAAATTCTTTTATTATTATGAGGCTACAGGTCAGAAGATCAAGGCACAAAGGGATAAAGTAACTTGATCAAAATCTCAAAGCTAGTGAGAGGAAGTCCAGGGTCAAACCCAGTGTTTCTGGACTAGCACCACACTCTCTCAGCCACTAAGCTTAATGTAAATGAAGCACAGGCCTGGCACGTAATATATGCTCAGTAAGTGTTTACTATAATTATTGCCTCGCCACCTGGTCCCAGTCTCCCTAGCCCTCCAGCTACAAGGTTCTGAAAGCAGGCAGGCTGGAGGGTGAGGTGGGAGCTCTGAGTCCCCAGTAGTCATCTCATGGTGGCATCAAGCTTGGGATGGAGGAGGGCTCAGCTGGGGCAGACACCATGCTGCACAACACTAAAATCATCGTGATTTTCCAGTTGTAAAAAAGGAGCTCCTACACCTGCTCTTGTGGCCAGCCCAGCCCCACCCATCCTCTTCAGCAGGGTGAATCAGCAGAAGGTACTGGCTTTTCTTGGGAAATAAATACTCTTTGGGTGTTAGAGTTTTGTCTCTGGTCACGGTATAATATTTCTTGAAACCCTACATCTCGGCTCACTCTCAAAACTGGGTATAATAAGGACACTGCCCTCTGACCCTAGGGCGAATTTGGCCGCCATCTCTGGATAGCTGATTCGTCTAGGACATGGGGCCGGGATCCTGTTTAAGTGTTATTTTTATATCAGTAGTAGTTAAGCAGCTTGAGGAAGCCAAGAGAGTAGCCTGGATGAGACCATTACTGATAAATCGCAAATGGGGTCCCCTGTGCCAGAGTGGTTGGCAGGCTGTGAGAGCAGCCTTCATGCCAGTCACCAGTCTCCAGCTCCTGTCCTGTCTGTGTGGCTAAAACCTAGCAGCATCTATGCCAGTGTCCTAAGGACCTGGATAGAACCAGCACCTTGTTACTGCAGTTTGGTCTGCCCCACAGG